AGAAGAGCTAAATGAAATAGAGATAAGCAATTTTTCAGAAATAGAACTCAGAGTAATGATTATAAGGATGCTTAACAGCATGAAAAAAGATACAGAAACAATGAAAATCAACCAATTGGAAATAAAAAACAACCAATCAGAAAAGTTTTGTAAGACTGGAATTATTTCTTCCTTGAATAGCTTCCAAAACTGCTTGAATGCCACCTGGGCATGAACTTTTCCATATAGAAAGATTATTGATTGTTGGTTCAATTTATTTAATGATTATAGAACTCTTCAGATTTTTTGTTTCTTCTAGAATCAAACTGGGACCTCTCAGTCCATGGAATGACACTCAATCCACTAAGCCACACCAGCTAGGCAAGACACTTTTAAAACTAGAATGTAGATCAAAATGTTTGCTTCTACTGGGTCACTTGGGGTAGTGCTATTTCAGGGCCACATTAAATTCTTGGCTTAAAGGTTTTTTGACCAGAGTGATTTGTGCTGCAAAATTTAGTGAAATTCACTGACTTGTTACAAACTATCAGGGTAAAATTGTTCTCATCTTCATTCATGTTGAGGTTCAATACAGGCCTTTGTTTTTAAACCCCTTGGTAGGGTTGGGGGTAGAGTATTTTATTTCAAATTCCCTGTTATGTGGAGGGGTGCCGGCTTTATGGACCAGGGTCTCCTATTTGACCTTCTTCTGAAGTGGGCCCTGGACTTTCTTCTCTGTCCTCAGGATAAGAGCCAGCTTCAGAGCTTCCCTAACCCCTCTGGGTTCCTGCCTCCACTTGGACTTTAAAAAATGTTTTTAATGTGTGTGTGTGTTTTTTTTTTTTTATGTTTTTAGAGAGAGAAGAAAGGAGAGATAGAAACATCGATGTGAGAGAAAAACATCAATTGGTTGCCTCCTGCACACTCCCCATTGGGGATCAAGGCCACAACCCAGGCATATGCCCTGACCAGGTATGGAACCAGGACCTGGGACAGTGGGATGATGCTCAATCCACCAAACCACACTGGCTGGGCCACTTGGACTTTGTAATTTCACGGAAGTTTATCAGCTGATTTCAGCAGGCAAGCACTTAGACTTTCATCCTGCTGGAAGCAGACCAGTGCATAACTCTCTTATGTTCTCAACAACATCATTCCCTCAACGTGTTGCTGCTGATCTGTACCTGAGAGTCCTGGTTATGTTGGGGTAGATCTTTGTGGGGTTTGGGCAGCTCTTCACCTTCCGCACAGTATCATGACTTCCCTTTTGGGAATTAAGATAGTAATTGTGTTGGCATAATCTAAGGTTGCCAGCCTGTAAGTAGGTTTTTCATTTAGAAAGTACTTTTGAATACCTAATTGGTGGAAATATTTATATACTGGTTAAATTTAACACTTGAGTGACTCTTTGATAATTTTAGAATATGTTTTTATTGTCTAGGACTTCAGCTGTTGTTTGAGAAGAGCATTTACAATCCTTCATTTCACTTTTCCCAGAAGAGTATGCTCTCTGCAGGAGGACTGGCACCCCTGCCACTATGAGCACCCCGCGAACAGTCTGCTTCTGAGGAAGCAGGAGCTGCACTGTCTGCCATATACATCACAGCAACCCCGTGAGACACAGAGTATTGTAATTCAATTTTATCATGGAGATGGAAAGGTAAAAATGTAAATAGTGTGTCCAAGGGCACCCTGCTGGGAACTGGAAACTGGAACTCAAATCTCACACTTAGCCTGTTTGTCTCCCTAAGGAATCGGACATACATTTCACTTATAGGTATAGCAGGTGTATATTTCAATAGTCTTAGTTTTGTCACAGAAGTCTCTAGGGTGCTAGTGGAGAGCCTTAGCTTATCTTCTAGTCGCATCTGATCTGTAACATAGAGTTGTGCCTGAAACGTGTGTGAAGGAGAAGTAGCACTCAGTCGTCATATGATGCTGTGAGGAGCTGCACACCATGCTGGTCGGCAACCACACAGCTGCACAAGTGGCTCCTACCCAGAAAGAGCCAAGGCTCGTGCATGAGACAGATGCCAACAGTGTGATGTGGCAGGAGGGGCAGGGCCCGGAGAAGCAGAGCATGCCCCTAACCAGGAAGACATAGGAGGCTCTCCAAGTGTGGATGTGTGAGGAGGGCATGGCACTGGTGTTAGGGGAGGTGCCCACCTGTGGGTGTCTGAGCGTACTGTGTCTGAGCGAGAGGGATCCTGGGAGAGGGGCTGAGGGCAAGCAGGAGCCAATCCCTGCAGAAGAGCTTCTCAAGTGCGCCACACTCCCATCTCCCAGTCTCCCACTCAGCAGGTGTGCAGTGGGGCCCTGAGCGTAAATTCCAAACAGGTTCCCAGTGCCGCCATTGGTCTGGGACCCACACCTTGACAAGCACTGCCCTGGAGGGGCAACTCTGTGGGTGACAGGGAGTGCACCAGCTGGCCAAGCGAGCTCACTGCCCACTCCCAGCTCAAGCTCCATGTTCAGGATGCAGACCAAACATGTGCTGCCCCTCCTCAGGTAGATGGAAAGCTCCAAAATTAACTTTATCAAGAAATCAAGGGTGCACTGAATTTAAAGACCTAAAAGGTGATGCCATTTACCTAAAACGCACATCCTCATAGGTGTTCCTGTTTGCTCCTACTTGAGCACCTACTGTGTGCTGTCCGCTCCATGAGGCACAGCGGAAGGAGGCAGCCTCTGTCCGATGCAGTGACCACTAGCTATATAAACTTACCGTCCGACTGGCTTCATGTCGGTGCTCAGTGCATATACATGGCTAACAGCTACTATACTGGACAGTGCAGATACAGAACATCCCATCATGGCAGAAAGTGTGCTGTTGGTGGTGCTAGTCTAGTGGGCATGGCAGACACTGAACTCATTTAAAATGGGCTGGGTTCGCTCTAAGGACTAGGGTAAGGCTTGGTGAGCTAGGACCCGTGAGCCGCGTGGGCCAGCACTGTGAACAGTGGCAGTGGGACAGGCCCGAGAGGCGAGTGGGAGTTCGGCTCCTACTTGGCTTCTCCTTTTGCTTCAGTTCCACAGGCTCTCGCGCGCCCTTAGCAAGCCCCTCTCTTTTCGTGCTCTTGCGTGGGAATCGTTACAACAGAAAGAGCCCCTTCTAGAACTGCGTTCTGCAAACTGCTCTGCAGCAGTAGGTGCCCGTCGGTGCCCCACAGCTTCCCCTCCTGGAAGAGACCACAGCGCCCATGGATGTTGAAAGTTCTGCTTAGCCCTGCAGGAGAGGAGCTTTTGCACACTTATGTGACCACGTAATACAAGCAGCTGTGGACATCTTTCTGAATCTTACTTTGAGAAAGCAGGACTGGGACACGCACCTGTATAACTTTTGTTTCGCGTTATTTGAAAAGCTCTTTGTCAGAATGTGCTGTGGGGACGAGAGCCCCTTGTACCTCTTGGGAAGGCCACAGGGGCCGGCAGAGCTGCCCGGCCCGGCCAGCTGCACAGAGCGCGGGCACACGAGGGGAGCCACATGTTCTTTTATTGATGCAAGTATGTCCAGTCACACCAACAACTGACATGCTGTGTTACAGTACAGCTGTACACGCACAGTTCATCTCAAAATACCAAAACATCATAGTTAGGAAATGTGTCCCGCTGGGAAAGAAGTGGCAAATGACACGGTGCCAGGTAGGTGCTGGGACCGAGGACCCAGTGAAGTGTATGTGATGGAGAAGCTCCTTAACACACGTACAGAAAGTGTTCTAACATCGTATTCCAAATATATACTCTCAAGTTTTAAGCCTTTATCTCAAATACATAAACAAAGCAATATGTACTATCAATATACAATATGTACTATCTAGAACGTCTGAAAAGTGCAAAAACACTGTGACAATACAGTGCAGATATTCTTGCTCCACCCAGAGTTAAAGGGGACATCAGCAGCGGCTGGCTGCCGCCTCGGTCCGAGGCCGCGCCTGGTCTCCCAGACTCCCCTGGGAGCTGTGGGCATCAGCGTTAGCAGGTCTCCGGCTGGTGCTCGGACAGAGCCAGGCATGTGGGAGAGACGAGGGTGATGAGCTCCACACGACTCACAAACGAAAGCCCACTGCGAGGAAGATTGAGTGGGTGTGATGGCCCGCCTCCCACTTTCCCGGGAGCAGGAAGTCAGAAGTGGAGTGTGCTCCTTGCATTTGGGAGTGGAAATACCTCCAAATGTTGGGCAGTTGTATGTGAGGGGGCTCCAGCAGTCACTGGCCCGGCTAATTTTCTGTTTCAGATTCCACTAGGGGAGCTCCACCTAGAGGGGAGGTGGCAGCTGTCCACTGGAATATTGGTGTATGAGTTTTCTTTCCACTTTGTACTTGGGTTTCAAAATGGCTTAAATGTCCCCATCCTCAAGCCTACTGAGTACGCTCTTCATTACAGCTAAGTGTGTCTTCCAGTCACACCTGGGAAACTGGCAATTCCATAACTCCCCGGCCTTGCATTATTTTTGATTTTCTATTTTCCTACAATGCAGTTGAAGAAAGATTTGCCAGACATATTCCAACAGAAAAATATGCTGCCAGGTGTCCCCTGCCCCTCCCGACCCCCGAAATCCCTGATAAAGGAAAAGGAAAATGTAAACTTTGGAAAGCCCGCACTCAAAGGTCTGCTTCCAGAAGTTCGCAGATGAGACTCCTGGCCTCCCAAGGCCTCGCTGGAGCCTGGAAGCTCACTGGCCCAGCTCTGAGGGCGGGGCCTGTGCTCCTGGCCCTGCTGCAGCACGGCGGGCGAGAGCAGAGCGGCAGAGGCCCCCCGGGACCCTCTAAGGCACCAGCCCTGACATCAGAGACACTGGCTGGAAGGGCGTCCAGGTAGGCAGGGCTCACATTGATTTTGGTTGGGTTTTTTTTTTTTAATATATTTTTTCGTAAGATGTGAATATAATCAAAAGTAGAAAATAAAAATCTACGTTTCATTAGATCAAGATGTTATCATGGACGCCATCTCCCATGATACTCTTTTCCCAACCCTCCCTGAACCAGGGCGCTGCCCTGTTATTTAAAATAAACACAAAAACTTTGTGCCAAAGGTTGATGCATGAAATAATTACCACTTTCCCCGTGAAAGTTATATACAGAATGGACCCCAACCAGTGAGGCCACCTCATGTCCACCCACATCCAGACGGAAGCCTGGTCACGTGTGCGTCACCCGCGCCGCAGGCTGCATCCCGCCTTCCTCAGGCTCTGTTAAGGAGAGTGGTCCTAAAGGTGGAAGGGCACAGTGGTCAGGTGTGGCGGCCCTTCTCCTGAGCAAGAGGGCAGGCCCGTGCTGTCAGGGGAGGCCTGGGCTCCGGGGACCAGCCACTGAAGGGAGGAGTTGGGGACATTCCCACCCCAAGTCCCCGGCCTCCTCACGACTGGCAGCTGCACGAGGGCACCTTCCCTTTGCCGGGCTCCCTGGAGGTGACCTCGGCTGCCCTTCAGAAGGGCAGCCCTGCCCTGCTCACCACCCCCCAGTCCTCTTTCTTCCTTGATGAGGCTGGTCTTGGGGAATCACAGGGCGGGCCCTTAGGTCTCCTACCTCAGGGTCTTCCAGCTGTCCTTCTCCATGTGGTTCTCGGGACCTTCACTTTCGAAGGAGGCGATGAACAGCGCTACGAGATTAAAAAGCCCCTCAGAACCTGTGTGTACATGCAATCGCTGCCTGTTGTACCCTTTTCCCTTCTCAAACCTTGAAGGGGTGCAGCTAGGCCCAGAACTGGACCAAGGGGACCCTGGCCCCGGCCTGGCCTTGTCCCCAGGTCTCTACTGTGTGAGGGTCCAGGCCCCTGAGGCCTAGAGCTCCCAGCTGCTGCCTCAGGACTCTGAGAAGCTGCCTGGTTCTCAGCACTGGCCCGAACCCGTCCTGGCTCCTTCAAGTGGCCTCTGGAGCCTGTTCTCCTTTGGTCCTTATCCTTCATCTGTCATCTGCCCACAACCCCCTTACGAACTCACCCTATGAGCTGAGCTTCCCTGTGTAGCATGGGCATAACGATCAGGCTGGGCCCTGTGGGGACCCGAGTGTGCACAGGGCTCTGGACAGGGACCGTCAGGGGATGTGTGTGGGGGGCTCTGCCTGCAGAGGTGGCCTCACCTTCCTCGCTGTAGATGGGCGCCGTGAGCAGGTAACTCTGAATCTTCTTGTCCTTTTCAAAAGGGCACTCTACCTGTGTCCATGTCATGAACTCGTGGATCTGTCTGGAGATCTCCCAAAATTTCTGAAGGGGCAGAGGACAAACTTGTCACCTAAAGCTAGAAATCTTGGCCAGGGGCAGAATGTAGATTCTGGGGTCAGTCCGCTGCTCACTTCCCTGGTCCCAGCGAGATGAGACGGTGGCCCTGTGCAGCTGAGTCCGTGGCCATGGGGACACTGTGCAGCGTCAAAGCCAGCAAGGGGTCCCAGAGGACACGCTGTTCTGCCCTCTACCAGGCCGCCAGGCTGGCAGCAGGGTCTGTGCGTCCCCTGCTCAGGGACCCCAACAGCGCCCCATGTGTGATGCCGAGCTGAGGCAGGTGTCCAGCCACAACCAGCACCACACGACCAACCTGAACAAATCATGATCCCACTCTTTGGGGCCTGTTTGGGAATCCAGAACCCCCTCCCACCCCTTACCTGTGTGAGGTGAGCACTGGACAGCCCAGTTCCCCCAATACCTCCCCGACCTCTGTCCTTCCCTCTGCCCTTGGCCAGAATGGTCTTTGCTTCCACCTGTATTTCTGCTGCCTCCTCTTCCCAGCTCGAGTCCCTATCCCTTTGGGCCATAATTGTGCTGCACTCACCTTGAAGTTAATGTGCCCATTGGGCAGGTGGTTGGTGTGGATCTTGTGCAGGAAGTAGATGTCCTTAACGAAAAGGTTGAACACAGGAATAACAATCTTCTCTCGGCTGCTGTTGGCCATCTGGGACCTCTGTGTGGCCCCCTGAAGGGCTGTGCGGTAGTTGCAGAAGTTGCTGGAAGGGTCCATGTGGTGCTGCAGGCAGAGGAAGGGAGGGTGGGCAGTGCTCCCCCTGCCCCTTTGCAGAGCAGTCGGCTGATGGGAAGTTACTTCCCCTCTGAGCAGTTTGGACTGTCACCCAGGAAAGACCTCCTCTCCAGGAGGGAGACCCAGAGGGGCCTCCCTGGGCACAGGGCCTAGGCCTGTGGGTTGAGTCTGAGCGTCGTTGGGAAAGCTGTAGAGGTCTCCCAGCCCACCTCTTCCCTGCCCTGCCGAGCCTGGGTCTCTCCTCTTTCCTTTCAAAACCTTCCTTTGCCCCTCTGCTTACACTGACACCTCCCAAACCCGACCAGCTCCACAGACACATGTTTGCAAAAAACAGTCTCTGTGAACAAATGTACCTGGGCAAGGCTGTGAATGAACGCACCTGTCAGCCCCCGGCCACCCAGATGGTCCAGTGCCACGGAAAGTTGGGCCAGGAAAAGGTCCGTCTTTGCTTAGTCAGCATGAACCAATGCAGGGCTCATAGGCCCATTTTTGTCAAACTCTTACCAACGACTCCCCAGAACTCACTTCAGGTGGTGCCAGGTCTGACTGAAGCCAGGGCTGGGGAGAGCTCAAGTTCCCGGGTCCCCAGTGTGGCCAAGTCAGGAGGCCCCACAGCCCAGCACCAGCCAGCACTGCAGGCGCGAGGGAGGCAAGCGGCACAGGATGGGGCTGGGGCCTACCTCCAAGACATCGAACTTGGCCGTCTTAACTTTGGACCATGTTTTCTTCAGCCGAGCCACGGGACTGAGGTTCATGCCAGCTGCAGAGGCCAGCAGAGAGGGTTAGGGTGGGGAGAGGGTGAAGCAGAAGCTGAGTGGGAAGCCCCAGGCCCAGACACTCACAGATGATGGCCATCATGGAGTTGAAGTTCCCGATGTTGAAGCACTCCCGGGCCACGTCGATGAAGAACTCTAGCATGCGGGTCCGGTGCTTCTTCTTCACCACCTGTAGGGCAGCCTCAGCCTCAGCATGAGACCCATGAGGGGGCCATCCCCTCCACCACTAGTCCCCGAAGGGCCTCCGGTTGGAACTGCCCAGCACCCACAGAGCTGTCAGACCCGGGGTGGGGGGATGCTGGCAGGCTGCAGAGGCAGGAAACACAGCTGTGGCCAGACAGAGAAGACTGGGGGACCCTGAATGAGCTCAGAGTGTCCTGGGCACAGGTGCCCTCCATGGATGGGGCTTGGTCATAATTTAAGGCATCACTGTTGGATATGGGTGGGGGCAGCACCTCCAAGGCCCTGGCAATGGAGACTTCTTATCTCCTTTCAAAGTTTCAACATCTGAGGGGCAGGAGCCTCTGAGGGTGTGTCCGGCAGCACTCTCGGGCTGGGGAGGAGACGGCGTCACCCTGCCTGTGTCCACTGTGCAGTGCTTACCCGGCACACCTCGGTGGCCACTAGCATGCTGAGGCAGTTGAACCAGTTGTCATAGGCCTCCAGGCTGTAGGTCTTGGTCAGGTCCCCTCGGCACTGGGGAGGACACAACACAGAAAGTCACAGGAAGTCCAAGGATGCTGCCAATGGGTGCTGTCCAGCCCTGCCCCAAAGGGGAGGAGCAGGAGCCCTGTCCAGAGGAGGAAACTGAAAGCAATGTTGAATGGGGGCACTTGGACAGGTCCCCTTGGCTAGCCCGGGTCTCCAGGATGGCCAGGGCTAGCCTTGGAGGCCAGGCTGACTGTCCGAGCCCCTGGGAATATTGGGTCCCCCCCCAGCATACAGTACCCTGTGTGGCCATCCGCTGACCCCTGGAGCAGACACCAGGAGGCCAGACCCATATCCATGAGATCATGAGATCAGACACTCCAGAGGTGCTCAGGTATGCTCAGTGGGGTCTCCACCCACCCTGCGTGGGATGTAGGAGCCAGGCCCACCCTCAGGCCACAGGCCCTCACCCTGTGCTTGTCCCGAGAGTCCATGTGGCTGACGATCTGCATCAGGTCCTGGGGGTGAATGCTGCTGACCCTCTCCTGGGGCAGGGTAGGGAGACAGCACAGGAGATGTGATAAGCCAGATGTCCTTGAGCAGGCCCCATACTTGGGGTGCAGGACATGTTCAGAGCAGCAGTCAGAACTAGTCTGCAGGTGTGTGCAATGGTCCCTCCTTGATCAGAGCACCCAGCCAGTGGACGGGCCATGCCCAGGCCCCCACAAAAGCATCCCAGGAGTCTGGAAGGCCCTACCCTGGAGCAGAGGGACCAGGCTGCAGGGAGCGAGGTGGCAGCCTCGAGGCAGTGGCTGCGATATACAGGACACAGGCAGGATGAGGTGTCAGGGCAGGGGAACTGGGTCTCACCCTCGAAGCCCTTCACCTCCTCTCAGGCTCGTCTTCCATCCTGGGGCCACTTCAGTCCTTACTGTCCCCCCCCCTCCCATCAGTGCAGGCACAGAGAAACCTGCTGTTTAGGTGGACACACACCAGCCAGAGGCAGTGGCCAGGGCTGGGAAGCAGGCTTCCCCTGGCACCCCAGCCTGCCCAGCGAGGGGAACCCTGCAATGCGGATATGGAGAAAGATGTGGGGGCCCTGGGGCTCCGCCCCAAACAGGCACACTGCAGCACTGACCAGCTCGATGTGAGTCAGCTGCTGGGCCAGCACCATGGGGTCACAGCACACGCCCAGGATATCCTTCTGAGTGGTCGGTGGCTTGGCCTTGAGGATGGGCCCTTTGTCCACAGCTGGGGAGCGGAGCTTCTCCCGAAGCTCCTGAAGCTGGCTCCGGGCAGCCAGGGCCAGCAGCAGGCTCTGCGTCATCTGGGCGACGGCCTTCTTCACTGTGCCATTCTCCTGCGGAGGTCAGGGAGCAAGGGGGTGCAGCGGGGCTGACGGCAAGACCACCTCTCTGAAGAAACCCATCTCAGCTCCAGGGACATGCCTGACTTTGAACCCTCGGGCCCTACCCAACCTGCAGTAAGCACGTGGGCCGACAGAGCGGGGAGTCTGGGCTCCCCTGAGGCCCTCAGGAGAGGGTGGCTTAGCAGGTGTCCTGCGAAGAAGGGATCTGAGGACCAGTACAGGGCCAGAGCTGGGCTTCTGGGTCTAAAGAGTGTGACTTTACTGGAGGCAAAGGTGACCAACTGAGCAATTTCTCAGGGCTGTCCTTCAGCAAGAAGGATGAGGCATCCAGAAGGGCTTCCTCTGGGGCCAGGAGCCTTCACTCCCTGGGTGGGAGCATCCCTGATGTCTCCCAAGCTCCCCCTCAGCTTTCTGAGCCTCTGGGCAGACAGGAGCTGCTGCATACAGGGAGCACCTTCATCATAAGGCCTAGCAGCCCAGGCTCCCTCTCGACTCTCCAGGTTCCCACCCCCGCTGAAGGCAAGAGCAGGCTGGGACCCTTCTCACTCAGCCCCCACTCCACCTACCCAAAGCCCAGGAGAGGGTGGGGCCTGGGCTCATTCCACATTCTTAGGGTGAGGTCTGCCCCACTGCTCAAGGTCTCCCACATGCCATGGGCGAGTCTGGCCCGTTGCTAGCCGAGGTGGGGGAGATGACCCAATGAAGGCACCCCGCAGTCCTCAGGAAGGAGTGACAGGGAAGGGGGCCACATGCAGAGCCGTCCCTGAGGACACCCACCTCCCATGCACACACACACACATACCAAGGAGTTCCATCAGTTGAGGGAGGCCCTCACCTCATCACACTGCATGATCCGGTGGGTGATGGCCTTCAGTTCAGCCATGGCCTTCTCATCCTGGAAGTCATAGGGGAAGGCCTCTGTCCACTCCTTTAGCAGCTGCACAATCTTGGCTGAGAAGGACCTCAGCATGGCCTGGGGTGGTGGGGCACAGGGTGAGGTCTGACCCACCAGACTGAGCGACAAGATGACAGTTGTGTCCCAGCCCCCAGGATCGCTGCGCTGGGACAGGGGCGAACCCCGGCCAGTCCACCTGCAGTAATGTCATACCTGCTTCGTTTCATATTCCCCTTAGTGGACCTTGAGAAAGAAGATACCTACCAAGAAGGGCTCCTGGCGGCTAACTGGGTGTAAATTAAAACAAAAACAAAACAACAGCCAAGCAGCTATTTCTAAACGGGGGCCTCTCACACAAGTGCCTGCCTGCACTGTGTTCCTGCCATCTGTGCCAGCCCTTACGAAGGAGTTGCTGAATTTGTACTTCAACCAATAGGACTGACACTTTCCCCATCCAATCAGAGCTGTGCAGCTATATCTCCATTAGCACCAGTCAGAGTGGCTCCATTCTGACCAATAAGGACAGTGCTTTGTGGACCAATCAAACTGTGAGGATTTGTAGTACTCATTTGCATGAGGACAGACCAATCAAGGACTAAGGGTGGGGACTTCTCTCCATATAAGTCAGATCCCCGGGTTGCTTGGGGGTCATGCTTTCCCTTTCCACTGAAGGCTACGTTTCCCTGGCTGGAGCACCAGTGGCTGGCCAGGGCACCCCACAGCTGCCTCACAGCTGTGCTATATCACAGCTGAATTGCTTGCACTGAATAAAGTTTCCTTCTTCACACACCCCAAATTAGAGATTCTTGTTGGCATTGAATTGGTGCCAAAGACCATCAGTTGACACCCTTAAGCCAGCTCTCTTTTTCACTTAAGTAAATTCACTTTCAAAAAACCTGCCTCACTACCATGGCATAGAAAACTAGATTCATTTGCTGTAGGAAGAAGTTACCCACAAACAAGAATGCAGTGAAAACCAAGCAAACTCATTCACAACAAGTGAGAGGCTCCTGCCTGCCGCCTCTCAGGCAGAGCAGTGAGCATGTGCGGGGAAGGAACCCAGGCCCAGGGAAGCAGCCTCCTCCCCTCTGTCATTAAAGGTGGTCCCGGCACCCTGCTGAGGCTCTAGGGCCAGAGAGAAGGGCATGTCAAATGCTTGGCTGAAGCATCCTCCTGAAATGCCCGCATGGGCCCAGCGCCGCAGGCACCACCCTTGCCGCCTCCTGTGCTACCACCGCCTCTTGCCCTCCATGGTCTCTGCCCGTGCCTGCCCAGCGTGGACTGTTCCACCCACTGGGGGCCACACCTGTCCTTAGGGCCAGGCTCCCCGAGGACCCCTTCCTTAGCCCTGCATCTTCCCGAGCCCCCTCTGCTGCCTCCAACCTGCCTGACTCTGGCTGCCCAAGCCCCCAGCCGATCCCGTAGTGATGGTTCCGGCCTGTCAGAGCTCCTCCCAGCCAGCCCTGGGGTCCCACAGCCACTGCTCTGGCCAGAGTCCAGGCTCTGCCGGCACCTCCTTCAGATGTCCACCGTGCCCACACTCGGCAGGGGCCAGAGCCCTCCTCGGAGGCCCTGCCGAGCATGTTACCATGGACACAGGCTGGCAAGCTCAGCCCAGGCTCCTCAGGCTGTCCCTTTGCTGACTCTCAGCTTCCCCACTCACCATGCTCTGACTTATTTCCACCCGTCCCCTCAGGAGCCTTTCCTGATCTCTAGACTTCAGTCGGCATCTGTCCCCATTCCTGCCCCACAGCACCGATAGGCCCTCTGGAGAGGAGACCAGAGGCACAGGCATTCACAGGCCTTTACTGCCAACCCTCCAGAACTTGCCCTGTGGAAGGAGGATGGAGGGGAATGTCACCCGTAAATGGCGACAGGCCAGCTCTGCCGCAGCCCATAGTAGCCTTGCCAGCCCATCGACAGCATTGCCCACCAACCCTTCTGCACCAGACCCTGGGCTGCTGAGACCTCACCCGAGACCTAGGGCCTCGGAATCACGCTGTGCCCAAAGCCTGGCTCACTCAGAAGGGACAACAGTGGGAATACCCGTTTAAGTCACTGCAAACTCCGATGAGCAGGTGCCAGCCTGAGGGCGCTGACCCCTGAGAGGAGGCAGTGACCCCAGCCCCTCTGGCTTCTTTTTCAACAACTGTAGCCAGGCCTCCATTGTCGGGGATCCTGGCACTGATCAGGAGAGCTGGTAAAGCTGTCTGCGGGGGCCCTTCCTTGGGAGGGGGTGTGAGTGCCCACCACAGCTGTTATTCCAGCATCCTGGGAGGTGAGCCACACCCCAGGTGTGCCAGGAGGCCAGAGACAGACAGCCTACCCCCACCAGGGAGCACCTCGGGCCAGGCTGGGCCAGGCCTGTCCTGCCAGCTTACTGTGAGCACGCGTCTCTGGAACAGCAGTGGGGGCGGTAGCCAGGGGCACAGAGACAGGCAGCATCAGGTCAGCACACCTTTACCTTCTCAGACCCGGCCTCCAGCTGCTGCCTCTGCTCCAGGTAGATCTGCCCCACACGGGCCAGCAGGTCATGAGGGGGCATGAAGACCCGGGAGCTCAAGAGAAACGTAAAGATGTACGTTCTCTGAAGAAAAGAAGAAGGAAAAAAAGAAAAGGGAGAGAGGGCGAAGTGTGGGTCAGGGCCGGCGTGGCCCCTCGGCCTGCTGCTCCCCTTGGCCTTGTTGGTCCCAAGCTCAGCACCCCACAACCAGCCACGGTTTCTGCATGGTTCACTGCACCTTGGATGCCCTCCTCCTCTCCTCCTGCACCCAAATCCTGCCGAGCTGCGAAACACAGGCCAGCCCTCTTCGAGGCAGTTCCAGAAGGCCTCCCCGATGCGCTGAGCCCCCGCAGTCTTCTCTGCCGGCTTCTCCCCACCCTCTATCCTACCCCAAAATGGTCACTAACCCAGCCTTGGATGTTGGCAGGACTCCCCAGGCCTGTGCGAGCCTGTTGCCCAGCCCACTGGGCCTGGCTCCAAGCCTGATTCTTCTGCAGATCCTCACTGCCCTGGCCTCTGGGCCCTGGCTGTGGGGCGGGGCGCTGTCCATGGGGCAGAGCAGGGCCTCATGGGCCCCAGCACCTGTATCAGGGACTGTTGTCAGCCCTGTGCAATCACTAACCAGCTGTGGGCTTTGCACCAGCTGCCAGCCCTGTTCCACATCCATGTGCCCTCACCACTGGGCTCTGCAGTGCAGGCTCTGAGGGAACAGCCCACCCAGGCCATGGGCGGGGTACAGGGAATGGAAGGAAGGACAGGAAGAGCAAACAGCGCCCCAGGAGGGAGGGAGGCATCCTGACATGTTAGGTGGGCCAAAAATCCCTGGAAGCTTAGCTGTCTGCAGCACCATCAGAGAAAAGCTGGAGGGCAGAGGTGAAATTACTCCCCCGCTGTCCCTAGGCTGGGTCTGACTCATAAGGCCAGGGAGCCCCGCTCTGCCCTGGGGATGAAGTGGTCACCGGAAGGTCCAGTGCAGCCCGGCTCTCGAAAGGGAGCAGGCAGGCTCCACGCCACTGCTGTTAGCAGAGGCAGAAGGGAAGCCATACATGACAAGAACATTCTTTCCCTCTGTTCCAGAATGTACCATCTCATCTGGAGTAGGTGAAGGCTGGCCCTGCCGGTGTGAGCATGTGCCCTAGCGTCCCCACGAAGGCTGGTGGGTGTGGCAGGGCTGTCCCCTCTTCATTCTGGATTCTAGTGGTTCATACACAAAGCAAACTTCCCAGCTCAGGGATGGGACAAGGGCAGGGTGCGGCCTCACCAGGACTACAGGGCCCTGCCCAGAAACTGTGTCACTTGTTTGTGCCACCAGGGCCATCTTCCAGCTTCCTGGAGGCCACAGGAAGGCACTCCGCTGGCCCTCCACACTCCTGTCCCGATGCTCCCTCCCGCCCCAGGAGCAGCGTCCCCTGGAGCCCAGGGCCCCCAGCCACACCAATCTCCAGGCACTCACATCAGGGTAATAGTCCACTGTGGGGACCAAGTGCTCCATCAGGGCCTCCAGAGACCCAGAGATGAGACGTCCATCCTGGAAGATGAGGTCCCCGGAGCCGCTGGCCCCGCCTCCTCGCTCCCCCATGCCAGGCTGCACCTGTCCACTCCAGCTGGGCCCAAGTATGCTAGAGAAGATGACGGACGTCTGGGGCATTGTTTCCTGTGAGAGAAGAACAAAGCCATGAGGCATCAAATGAGCCTTCTCCAGATCGTCCTCCTGGCCCTCGCGTGAGCGTGTGCCATCAGACATCAGCTCACATGGGCGGGCCTGCAGCCTCTGGGTGTCTGATGACTGTTTCTCCAGCACCTGCTCCATGCACACCATGCCTCATTCCAGGTACCAGGACACACAGAGCCCACTGGGAGAAAAACACTATGGAGAAATACAATGCGAGGAGAAGAACTTTAACCCGTGAGGAGGGGGGGGCAAGGCAGCCTCAGGCACGTGGCATTGGGACAGACTGATGGCGTCAGCTCTGCAGCTCTCTAGGATAACAAAGGAACATTTTAGGCATAGGGATAGCAGGTGCCAAGGTCCTGAGGCCAGTGTGTGTGAGGGGATGAGCAGGGAGAGAGGTCTGAAGAGTAACAGGCCAGACTATGCACACGCCAGGGCCAGAGTACGGTGCGCTGTTTCTCTGAGTAAGACAGGAGGTATGGGAGATCCGAGCACAGGAGTGACCTGACTCGGGGGAAGGTCAGCTTGGCTGCCATGTGGAGAACCAGCAATAGAGAGATCTAAAAACCAGTTGGTGGGTTTTGTCATAACCCAGAGAGAGATTGCTCAAGTCAGGTGGTAGTGTGATAGGCTCGCAGCCAGGACAAGTGGAACAGGGAAACAACAGACAGTTAAACAGCCGAGCAGTTTACAGCCACCTAGTAAATTGCAAAATCCTTTCTCGCCTGACCAAGGACACTTCAGAGTAAATGGTTTACACTTCCCCTCCCCAGCCAGTGGGTAAGTAGCTTAAATCACCCTACTCAAGGAGACAGATAGCAGAAACCCAATTAATGCCACTGGTGCCAACCACACCAAGGACAGATGTGGTCAGGGGAATACCAGTTGAGCACAGCAGCATAAAGCTGAAGAACCTTCTGTTGAGATCTTCCCCTAAGACCTCCCCTAAACTCCCAGCCTTTATTTAATCCTCACTCAAGGATATCTTCATTGATTTTAGATGGGGGGGGGGGGCACTGATGTGTGAGAGAAATATCGATTAGTCTCCTCCTGCATGCACACCAACCAGCATGTGCCCCAGCCCGGGATCAAACCCATAACCTCGGCATGTGCCCCGACCAGGAATCAAACCCACGATCTTTCAGTGTATGGGACATTGGTCCAACCAACTGAGCCACATGGGCCAGAGCCAAACTCTTAGCCTTTAAGACCCTCAAGATGAAGGAACCCAGTGTGCCCTCTCCCTCTCCAGGGCATGCCTGTGCTGACCCCCAGGCAGGGACCTCTGCCTTTCTCTCTCCTGACCTCCAAGGGCCCTTCTACTACCTCTGCAATTTTCTAAATAAACTTTCTCTTACAATTTGAGTTCTTGGCTCTGAAATCTTTCTTTGCCGAACTTAGGGACCAAGGTCCACTCTTGCCGCCGCCACCACCAGTAACCGTGGCAGAAAAGGAGGGGTTGACTCTGGACGCTGAAGAATGGTCTCCGGCCTGAGTGACTAATCAGAGTGGGGAAAGCATGAGGGTGGGGTTTGGGGACAGAGATGAGCATGCTTTAGACATGTTGAATTTGAGGTGCCTATTAGACACACACCAGGCAGCAGTCTGAGGGCTGGCTGCGCCCACGCGGGGACCGCCGCCGAGGCCTGGCCTGTGTCACGGGAGCAGAGGGCCTCTGCTGGAAGCCCTCGAGGCCTGGGAGAGTCAGCAGCCCTCTGGACCTCGGTTTCTTCTCTGCCTAAGGCAGCCAGACACACCTGGAAGGGGCTTTATGGGGATTCGCCAGCCTGAGGCCTGCTGTGGCCTGAACCCCTGTCCCCACCCTCTTGGTCACATAGTCCCACCTTTCAAGGGCAGGTGGGCTGCTGCCCCAGGGAGCCACGTGCCCTCCCTCTCCCAGGGCAGGGCTGCCTCCTCATGTCTAAAAGGATGGAAAGCACACCCCCGCCTCGGGCTCCCTGGCCCTCAGCGCTGACCCTGCTGTGGATATCTCTGCCCCAGCCCCAGCCCGCTCGCTGCCCACTGGCCTCTGTTTTTCCACTGTGCAGAGCAAACTGTAGCCCTGCTTACTTACTCCGTGAGAGGGCCCAGGCTGCTGCCCTCCACGAAGGGTACAGCAGAACAAACCCCTCCCAAAGCACAACCGAGCCTCTAAATCCCTACCTCCAAGGCCGCCTTGGAACCCTCTGGAAACCCTCTGCTAGCAGGGCAGGGGCCCAGGCAGGCTCCTGGGAAGAGGCAGGACGGGAAAGTCCAGGCCCGCAGGCAGTGCTGCTTCACTCCAGGACGGGGCTCGGACTCGCGGGCACACCGCCCAGCGCAGGTTAGAATGCACATGCGCAGGCCCTGCCGGCCCTCCTGGGATTCTGACGCCTTGAGCAACCCTGCATTTTTCAGATGTTGAAACAGAAGCTCAGTGAGAAGGAAATTGGGTTTCCAAGTCCAGTCCAGGTGTCACTACCTCCAGGAGGTCTCCCTGGGGTAATCCCTGGATACCTGATGCACCAGGCTGGAAATGGCCTTCACATCCTCCTGCCCAATTGGAGCCTGGCCCACGATGCTCACTGGGATGAAAGTTATCATTTGTCTGAATAATATCTTTCTGACACTTACATTTGTTGTTTGCAGGACGAGAGAACAGAGGTGTGCTTTCCAGGCACCCTCAGCTGCTGTGCCTTCTGGCTCCTGGCAGGGCCTGGGTCCTCGCACTTCACCTGAGACCCGGGGGCTGAGACAGCTTCCCCAAGATCACACAGTTCTGGTTTCAAAAGGTGACCCACGGGTGGTCTGGTTGGCCAGTAGGACCTCCTGGCCCCCAGCTGCTTCTTCAGAGTTGGCACTTTCTGAGTCACCGGCCTCTCCCTCTGTGGAGAGGGAGACTGCAAGCTACTCCGGTCAGAGGTGCTGGGGGAGGGGCACTCTATCACCCCAGTAATTCACACAGTCCCTGAGGGATCCCTCACAGGGCAAGGCCACCCTGGATCTGGCCTGCAGGGAGACCCACCCTACAGTGAAGGAGGCCAAGAACCAGTGAGGAGCCAGCCTGGGGACTCGGCCATGGAGCGTGTCTTCCAGCCCAGAACAAGCGTTTACACTGCGGTGTACACAACGGCACGTCAGTACAGAGGTAAGCGCCATTCTCCAGGTTCTGCTCAGCCTGGCTGAGGGACTGCTTCAGCATGATCCTCCATCCCTGGGTCTTTTCCAGGGGTACAGTCTGGAGCTCTGAGTCAATGCAACTCAGGTCAGAAGCTCTTGGTGGGATCTCAGACAAAAACTTTAGTTTCTGAGCATTTGCAGTTGCCCTATATCATGTACACATGAACACACAGTGCACACATACAAGCACACACATACACAGCATACACGCACTGGTATAGCAAAGACACAGCACACACAGTGCAGACATGTACACAACATACACACACATACAAAGCACACAGGGCATATACACATACACAGTGTGTACACACATGCACAGTGTACATACAAACAGTACACACAGCACCCATAGCATGTACACACATACACAGAATACACACAACGTGCACGTACACAGTCTACATACAGCAGCCTCTTCAAGGGACTTTAGCTACAGATTTGAGTGCCACTCCCTGTTACAGTGCTTTCTACTGTGGTCTCAGCAAACCAGAGCCATGAAGGATCCATGCCCCTCCATCAAACAGCAAAATAGAGAGAAGGGTACCAAAGCTGGACACATGCCCTAGGAGGGGCAGCCCTGCACACGCACATGTGTACACCTTTAGTGACCTGGAGCACCGTCCTTCTACTCACAAACTCAGGCTGTGCCTGAGATGGCCTTCAGAGACCTGATAACCCCACTCCATCATCCCAGGAGCCCCCGGTCCCAGGGAGCTGTAGCTGTGGCCTGGTCATGGGTCTCTCTCTGATAGCACACACGTCATGTGCACACAGAGACCGCCGAGGGCACCCGAAGGTGCTCGTCACTACATCTTCACGTCTCTTGACCAGCACTCACACCTGCCCAGCCTGAGTGAAGGTTAAGTCCTTTCCCCAGTGAGTTTCCTGCTTCCTGTACTGAAAGGCCCAACCAGGTCCGGGGAGCCTGGCACTGCCCGGTGGGAGACTCCCACAGCTGAAGTCGCACACAGTCCCCGGGGAAGGAATACAAATGCTGATGACTCTAGAGAAACAGCCAGGCACTGTGATTCTGTGGACAAAATTGTCATCTCACCAGTGCCTGGGGCAGCCCTGCACACATCCCTGAGGTGTCCCCACGCCCAGGGTCTGCTGTCACAGGGAGCTCTCATCTCCTGCCTTCAGGCCTCAAGCACAACCTCAGGCAGGTCCAGGAGCAGGAAGGCAGGAAGGGGGAGAGGGCAGAAAGAGACTCAGGGCAGCCAGGTGGGACCGAGGCCTCGTCTTCAGGAGCCACATGCCTGCCCGACCAGTGGGCTCTCTGAGGCCTCTGATGCCCAGCTACCTGCTCCCAACACCAGTTCCACCCTCCAGGCCACACTCTGGGGGAGGGGAGGCAGGGCTCAGTGAGCATCATCTCCAGGGGTGTCTGCACGAGGCATGTGTCTCAGCCCAGAGGGACTGAAGGAGTCCGGGAGGCGGCACCGGTGACGACTGGCCGGCCTCACACACAGCCAGCACTGCCCCGGCTGACAGTGGGTGACAGCAGGAAGGGCAGTCTCCTGCACAGCTGGGCAGGGACGGTGTTAGGCCTCCACTCAGCCATGACAAACAAGAGCTGTCTGAGGCATGTTCCCAGGGTACAGTCAGAATTTTAAGACCCCTTCCAGATCCTAGAGTCTGTATTTCTGGAAATTTCTGAGAAACAAAGAAGCAGAGACAAGCTTTCTTTTGACTAACCTTTAAATGTTCAGCATCAGGAGCTGGAGCCCAGTGTGTGTTGGGAGTTACATGTTTCATCTCACTCAGTGAGACCCCTCTAGCCCAGGGGGTCTGTGCAGAGATGCCCAGGCACGCCAGCC